ACTGGCCTGTCTCCTGGTAGCGCCTCCATGCTCTGGACACTACGCTGACAGACACAGCAAACCTTCTTGCCACAGCTCGCATTGATGTGCCATCCTGGATGAGCTGCACTACCTGAGCCACTTGTGTGGGTTGTAGACTCCGTCTCATGCTACCACTAAAGTGAAAGCACCGCCAGCATTCAAAAGTGACCAAAACATCAGCCAGGAAGCATAGGAACTGAGAAGTGGTCTGTGGTCACCACCTGCAAAACCAGTCCTTTATTGGGGGGTGTCTTGCTAATTGCCTATAATTTCCACCTGTTGTCTATTCCATTTGCACAACAGCATGTGACATTTATTGTCAATCAGTGTTGCTTCCTAAGTGGACAGTTTGATTTCACAGAAGTGTGATTGACTTGGAGTTACATTGTGTTGTTTAAGTGTTCCCTTTATTTTTTTGAGCAGTGTATACAGTGGGGAAAAAAGTATTTAGTCAGCCACCAATTGTGCAAGTTCTCCCACTTAAAAAGATGAGAGAGGCCTGTAATTTTCATCATAGGTACATGTCAACTATGACAGACAAATTGAGAAAAGGAAATCCAGAAAATCACATTGTAGGATTTTTAATGAATTTATTTGCAAATTATGGTGGAAAATAAGCATGTCTGGTGGGGTAAGTGTGTGTGTCAGAGCTGTGTGTAAATTGACTATGCAAACAATTTGGGATTTTCAACACATTAATGTTTCTTATAAAAAGAAGAAGTGACGCAGTCAGTCTCTCCTCAACTCTTAGCCAAGAGAGACTGGCATGCATAATATTTATATCAGCCCTCTGATTACAATGAAGAGCAAGACGTGATGCTCTGTTTTGGGCCAGCTGCAGCTTAACTAGGTCTTTCCTTGCAGCACTGGACCACACGACTGGACAATAATCAAGATTAGACTAAACTAGAGCCTGCAGAACTTGCTTTTTGGAGTGTGGTGTCAAAAAAGCAGAGCATCTCTTTATTACGGACAGACCTCTCCCCATCTTTACAACCATTGAATCTATATGTTTTGATCATGATCTATTGTAAACTAAGGTAACGGCAAGTAATTTAGTCTCCTCAACTTGTTCAACAGCCACACCATTCATTACCAGATTCAGCCGAGGTCTAGAACTTAGGGAATCTTTTGTACCAAATACAATGTTCTTAGTTTTAGAGATGTTCAGGACCAGTTTATTAGTGGCCACCCATTCCAAAACAGACTGCAACTCTTTGTTAAGGGTTTCAGTGACTTCGTTAGCTGTGGTTGCTGATGCGTATATGGTTGAATCATCAGCATACATGGACACACATGCTTTGTTTAATGCCAGTGGCAGGTTATTGGTAAAAATAGAAAAGAGTAGAGGGCCTAGAGAGCTGCCCTGTGGTACACCACACTTTACATGTTTGACATTAGAGAAGCTTCCATTAAAGAAAACCCTTTGAGTTCTATTAGATACAGTGGGGGAAAAAAGTATTTAGTCAGCCACCAATTGAAAAGTTCTCCCACTTAAAAAGATGAGAGAGGCCTGTAATTTTCATCATAGGCACACGTCAACTATGACAGACAAAATGAGAAAAAAAATCCAGAAAATCACATTGTAGGATTTTTAATGAATTTATTTGCAAATTATGGTGGAAAATAAGTATTTGGTCAATAACAAAAGTTTCTCAACACTTTGTTATATACCCTTTGTTGGCAATGACACAGGTCAAACGTTTTCTGTAAGTCTTCACAAGGTTTTCACACACTGTTGCTGGTATTTTGGCCCATTCCTCCATGCAGATCTCCTCTAGAGCAGTGATGTTTTGGGGCTGTCGCTGGGCAACACAGACTTTCAACTCCCTCCAAAGATTTTCTATGGGGTTGAGATCTGGAGACTGGCTAGGCCACTCCAGGACCTTGAAATGCTTCTTACGAAGCCACTCCTTTGTTGCCCGGGCGGTGTGTTTGGGATCATTGTCATGCTGAAAGACCCAGCCACGTTTCATCTTCAATGCCCTTGCTGATGGAAGGAGATTTTCACTCAAAATCTTACGATACATGGCCCCATTCATTCTTTCCTTTACACGGATCAGTCGTCCTGGTCCCTTTGCAGAAAAACAGCCCCAAAGCTTGATGTTTCCACCCCCATGCTTCACAGTAGGTATGGTGTTCTTTGGATGCAACTCAGCATTCTTTGTCCTCCAATCTAAACGAGTTGAGTTTTTACCAAAAGGTTCTATTTTGGTTTCATCTGACCATATGACATTCTCCCAATCCTCTTCTGGATCATCCAAATGCACTCTAGCAAACTTCAGACGGGCCTGGACATGTACTGGCTTAAGCAGAGGGACACGTCTGGCACTGCAGGATTTGAGTCCCTGGCGGAGTAGTGTGTTACTGATGGTAGGCTTTGTTACTTTGGTCCCAGCTCTCTGCAGGTCATTCACTAGGTCCCCCCGTGTGGTTCTGGGATTTTTGCTCACCGTTCTTGTGATCATTTTGACCCCACGGGGTGAGATCTTGCGTGGAGCCCCAGATCGAGGGAGATTATCAGTGGTCTTGTATGTCTTCCTTTTCCTAATAATTGCTCCCACAGTTGATTTCTTCAAACCAAGCTGCTTACCTATTGCAGATTCAGTCTTCCCAGCCTGGTGCAGGTCTACAATTTTGTTTCTGGTGTCCTTTGACAGCTCTTTGGTCTTGGCCAATGTGGAGTTTGGAGTGTGACATTTTGAGGTTGTGGACAGGTGTCTTTTATACTGATAACAAGTTCAAACAGGTGCCATTAATACAGGTAACGAGTGGAGGACAGAGGAGCCTCTTAAAGAAGAAGTTACAGGTCTGTGAGAGCCAGAAATCTTGCTTGTTTGTAGGTGACCAAATACTTATTTTCCACCATAATTTGCAAATAAATTCATTAAAAATCCTACAATGTGATTTTCTGGATTTTTTTTTCTCAATTTGTCTGTCATAGTTGACGTGTACCTATGATGAAAATTACAGGCCTCTCTCATCTTTTTAAGTGGGAGAACTTGCACAATTGGTGGCTGACTAAATACTTTTTTTCCCCACTGTAAATAAATATCACCTGGGAGCATGAGCAGCAGTGTGCTGTGTTTTCCTTTCTGTTTTCCATGAGTTCACCTACAGTGAGGGGAAAAAAGTATTTGATCCCCTGCTGATTTTGTACATTTACCCACTGACAAAGAAATGATCAGTCTATAATTTTAATGGGAGGTTTATTTAAACAGTGATCAGACGTTAAACGAATGGGGACAAGAGAGGTAAAATAATAATAATAATAATAATAATAATAATAATAATAATAATATGCCATTTAGCAGAAGCTTTTATCCAAAGCGACTTACAGTCATGTGTGCATACATTTTTACGTATGGGTGGTCCCCATATTATTATTATTATTATTATTATTGGTAAAATGTTTTGCTCTCAAGGAAAGGGCGCCATTGAGAGGAGTGATTACTGGGGTAGGTGTAAATGTGAAAGTTGACCAACTGAAGGGGAAGATTCCCGGTGTTTGTGATGCTCGTCGTTTGGTGCGACGCAGACAGGGTGGTTGGGTGTGCGAGACTTTACATCAGAATAGTTAAGTTGTGTGTCACATCCTTTCAGGCTGTTGGCCTGAGGTAGGATTAAATAGATTTAAATAGTGGAGTAGGGTGATGGGTTTTTAGTGAGTGTAGTGTTAGATGGTAGGGTATTTGTTAATAAAAAATGTAATTAAATTCAAGCAAAGGGATTTATACTCCAGTCTAGTAGGTTGTGGTAATGCAACATTTATTGAAAGAACACTGAAAAAATGCTCTTAAATTTAACCGCGCTTTCAACCATTAGTACACTTGTTTTCAGTAGAAAACAGGCAAATATCTTATTCTTAACCACATCTTGCACTTTTTACTTCCCCAAAAACTCTTGTATTTTGCAATCCATCCGCCACTGATTGGGTGCTAGCAGCAATAGCCAAGAACTCCTACCTACCCTGATTTCCTTTCGAAACACCACATGACCCGTGTCCTAAAAACTACGAAATTAGGACATAAACGTAATTAAACCCAAGAATACCTGTACACCCGAGCCGTGTCCGTGTCACACTCCGGGCACCGGACACTGAAAGACGAACCGCGGCTCTGAACATGATGCGGGGTCAAACCAGCGAAAGGAGAAGCAGACATTGATGGGATCAGACTTGTCTTGGTTGTCACTAGTTAAGACAGCCAAAAAGTCAAAATTGTCTTTATCGTAAAAAAATCATGAAAACAAAAAATAGTTTTTTTGTCCTCATTTTATGTTAGAGTTAGGCATAAGATTAGCAGTAGGGTTTATGACTTTGTGACTGTGGTAACTAGTGACGACTCAAGGATGTTAGCTAGCTAGCTGCTGAAGACCTAGCCATGCGAATGCGCAAGATCCTAAAAGTAAGATTTTTTTGCACATTATCGTAACACACACGACAACATGACATATATTTGACCTATATTTGTCCCCAAAGAATACCACACACATAGGTGATTTGCCTCCACTGTCAAAACTAATTTGTGGACTGAATAGGCCTATATGGGATATTAGACTATATTTCAGTTGTTTGATAGTAGAAAGACCTCATGCCATTATTATTGCCTGGCATTGAGCTGGGAAAAGTAGACTGAAGCAAAGTTGATGACAAACATAGTGTAGACACAGTAAACATGATTATATTTTTTTATGAAGTGCAAAATTGATCTGAATAATATGAGAACAGCAGCCCACATCAAAACACGAAGGAAACATTTTACCGTAATTTTATGAGACACGTTTCCTAAATTACTTAAATATAATTTGAAAACGTAGGGCTTTACTATTTGCGCTTAACCCACTACAACTTTTTATAATCTATTCTAGAACCTAAACATTTACTCAAAAGCAATCTCTTCCAGTTGTCTCCTTCACTTTCCTCTGTTTCTCTGTTGTGTCTAGCAGGAGCACAGAGTAGATGAAACTCAAAGTTTCTTTCACGTTGAGGGAGTCGAGGGGAACCGGTGGTCCTCCATGCAGGCTCTCTTGGCTTCAGAGCCAGGCAACATGTATGAACTGTAGAGTGTCTTTCCTCCTGCTTTTTCCCTCTCTTTCTCCGAGGCAGCATACAGGTGTGGCGTACAGCTCAGCACATGGCTACAGCCCTCCTGAGACTTAGAGGTACAGGCACCCTGGAACCAGAAAGGGCTTTGGATTTTCTGGGTTAGTGGTGTTGACGACAGTTGTGTTTCGGTGAAGAGGGTGGTGAGTTCGAGCCGTGGTCGGGGCAGAATTTTCACACTGTCACATGGCGTCACTGGAGGCTGATACCCAGGATGCTGGTGCCCTTGGGGTTGGTAGCTAGGATAATGCATGGTTTCTGGAGGCTGAAACCCAGGATGCTGGTGCCCAGGGGGTTGGTAGCTAGGATAATGCAGGGTTTCTGGAGGCTGAAACCCAGGATGCTGGTGCCCAGGGGGTTGGTAGCTAGGATAATGCATGGTTTCTGGAGGCTGAAACCCAGGATGCTGGTGCCCAGGGGGTTGGTAGCTAGGATCATGCAGGGTTTCTGGAGGCTGAAACCCAGGATGCTGGTGCCCAGGGGGTTGGTAGCTAGGATCATGCAGGGTTTCTGGGGGCTGAAACCCAGGCTCACGTGGGTCCAGTGGGTGTGTGGAGAGCAGGATACTGATAGCAGGAACAGTCTTATGAACAGTCATCCTGGACCTGGGTGTCACATCAGTCTCCTGACTCTCCCACACCTCACTCACAGTCTTGTAGTGGAGCTTGGATAGCTGGTGCAGTCCTCCCAGTTTCCGTTTCAGGATCTCAACACATGTTATGGTTTTGGTGATCCCTTTGCCTGATCCAGTAAAAACCACCTGTCTCACTCTCAGCCCGGTCCGGGTATGACTCCGACCGATGTCCATGACTCCCTCTCCTTGCCTCAGCCCCATCTGACTCCCGTCCACTCCCACTCCCTCTTTGACTCTCAGCCTCGTCTCAATCTGACTCCCGTCCACTCTCACTCCCTCTTTGACTCTCAGCCTCGTCTCAATCTGACTCCCGTCCACTCCCACTCCCTCTTTGACTCTCAGCATCGTATGAATCTGACTCCCGTCCACTCCCACTCCCTCTTTGACTCTCAGCATCGTATGAATCTGACTCCCGTCCACACTCACTCCCTCTTTGACTCTCAGCATCGTATGAATCTGACTCCCGTCCACACTCCACTCCCTCTTTGACTTCAGCATCGTAGAAATTGAACGCCCGTCCACTCTCACTCCCTCTTTGACTCTCAGCCTCGTCTCAATCTGACTCCCGTCCACTCCCACTCCCTCTTTGACTCTCAGCATCGTATGAATCTGACTCCCGTCCACACTCACTCCCTCTTTGACTCTCAGCCTCGTCTCAATCTGACTCCCGTCCACTCTCACTCCCTCTTTGACTCTCAGCATCGTATGAATCTGACTCCCGTCCACACTCACTCCCTCTCTCTGCATACGAGCCATTACAAATCCCAAGAGGTTTCGGATCTTGCTCCCTTCCTTCACTCTCATTGTGAGCACGCCTGCTGCCAGTCCGGGGATTGGACAGGCAGTGGGTTCCTCTGTGGTGCAGACTCTCCTGAAGCTGCTCCGGCCACCCAGTTGAGGCAACGAGGACGAGGAAGAGGAAATGGAAGGCGGTTCTGGGGTAGGGAAGGCAGACTGGGTTGGTTTCATACTGGTAAAAGTGCATGTAGTCATGGTGTGTGAGATGCTGTTGCTTTGTCCAATGGGGAGGACGTGTTAGTGCAGGGGTCGGCAACAGTCCTTTTCTAATCACTCAGTTTTTAGAAGCTCTGAATTCCCTTATTGTCCTTAGTAAATCCCTTTTTTTTGGTTTTCAGGAAGCTACGATGACGATGATGATCTGCCTCCTTCTCCAAACCACTGGACTGGATGGAAATAAGTTTACCTCCTGCTCCGACTGATGCTGGGGTATGTCTGTAAGGTTGACCTCCTGCTCCGACTGATGCTGGGGTATGTCTGTAAGGTTGACCTCCTGCTCCGACTGATGCTGGGTTATGTCTGTAAGGTTGACCTCCTGCTCCGACTGATGCTGGGGTATGTCTGTAAGGTTGACCTCCTGCTGCGACTGATGCTGGGGTAAGTTGTAGCACAGAGAGAGCGAGAGAGAGAGAGGAGGAGGAGGAGAGAGAGGGAGAGAGAGACATTCCATTGGCTGTCCTATCCTTTAACCACAGTGGGGGGGTGTGGCGTTGTGGGGGGTTTTAAAAATTCCCGATTTAAAAAATTGGGTTTTTTAAAATACGCAATTTAGGCCCTTAAAAAAAGGGCTAACTGTGGGGGAAAATTTAAAAAGAGAGATAGTACCTAGTCATCTTTAAAATGCTCTCAACGTTTTTCCCAAAAAGGTTGTCAAAAAAAAAGGCAGGCACCGGTGGAAAGAACCTGGGAGTTTAAAAAAGTTAAAGACAAGTTCAGAGAGGCATTGTGGAAATTTTTTTTTCACCCCTTGAGAGACTACCCATTTTGATTAGTTTTGGGACCGAAGCCCTTAAAAAATGAAAGGGACGGGAGCCTATGGTTTGTGGGGCTTCCCACACAGAGAGGAGAGAGAGGAGAAAAGGGGAGAGGGGGGGGGGCCCAGGGGGGGGGCGGGGCCCGGGGAGGAGAGAGCCTAGGGAGAGAAAAGAGTTTTTAGGGGGGAGGAGGGGGCCGAAACCCCACCGAAGGGGCCCCAGGAAAAAGGGACTGAGCCGATTGAACCCTCAAAAGAGAAGAAAGGGGGAAAGAAAAGAGCAGGAGAAAGGGAGCACCAGGAAAAGGAGAGGAAACCCATTTAGGGAGAGAAAGGGGGAAAGAGAAAAAGGGGGAGATGAGGGCCGGGGAGGGGGGAGGGGAGAAAAAAAAGAGAGGGGGAAAAAGGAAGAAAAGCGAGAAGAGGGGAGAGGGAAAGAAGGAGAAGAGGAGAGAGAAGAGGGGGGGAGAGAAAAGGGAGAGGAGGGGGGAAAAAAGAGGGGGCGGAGAAGACGGGGGAAGAGGGAAGGGAAGGGAGAGAGGAGAAGAGAGAGGGAGAGGGGAAAGGGAGAGGGGAAAGGGGAGAGAAAGGAGGGGCACGGGGGGGAATTAGGAGGGGCCCTTTTTAAAAGGGGGAGGGGGAAAAGGGGGAGGGGGAAAAAAGGAGGGAAAAAACCCCAAGAGGGGAAGAAAAGGAAAACTGAAGGGAAGGGAAAAGAAGGGAAAAAAGGGAGAGGAGACCAAGAGGGGTTTTTTAAGGAGTAGAAGGAGGAGAAAAACCCCTTTTTAAAATTTTCACTTTTTTTTAGGGGAGGGGGACCAAAAGGGGGGGTTTAAAAATTAGAGGGATTTTCATACCCCCCCACGTGGGAACCGAAAAAACCCATGGCCTTTAAAAGCCCCTTTTCTTACCAAATTTGGGAAAAAAAACTAAGTTTATTGACAGGGAAAAAGACCCTTTTTTTTTTTTTTTTCCTTCGCCTTTTTACCCCCCTTGGGTTTATTCCCCCCCGTAAACGCCCCCCCCTTCCAAAAGTTGCCAAACTGCTAAAAAATAGTAGTTGCGGAAAAAAGATTTTTTCTTTTTTTTTTGGGGATTGGAAAACCTCATTTGTTTTTAATGTGTTTTCCGGGCCCCCCAAAGAAAGCAAAGAAATATAGACGCCCGTCACTTCTAAATTGGGGAAAACCGAACATTCAGTCCCTAGAGAGAACAGGCAAAAAGCAGACACACACACACACACACACACACACACACACACACACACACACACCCACAGCTGATGACATGTCTGTATCTCCCTCTTGTGGACATTGATGGCACTCCACTGTGCTGTGAAATTGGAGCGCCCGGCATATGTCACCTGCTGTACACTCTCCATAACAGCCTGCAGTGCTGAGCATCCCCACCTTGTGGCGAAACACTGAAATGGTTCAGTTCAGGAGGCTAGAGAGACTGGGTAGTGTATTGATTAAATGGTTCCGTTCAGGAGGCTAGAGAGACTGGGTAGTGTATTGATTAAATGGTTCAGTTCAGGAGGCTAGAGAGACTGGGTAGTGTATTGATTAAATGGTTCCGTTCAGGAGGCTAGAGAGACTGGGTAGTGTATTGATTAAATGGTTCCGTTCAGGAGGCTAGAGAGACTGGGTAGTGTATTGATTAAATGGTTCAGTTCAGGAGGCTAGAGAAACTGGGTAGTGTATTGATTAAATGGTTCCGTTCAGGAGGCTAGAGAGACTGGGTAGTGTATTGATTAAATGGTTTAGTTCAAAGAGGATTTTCACAAGCAATGGTTAAACTCTCTGACAAACTTTAAAGACATGCTCTGGGAACTTTGGCAACTACTCAATATTTCTTAAACCTCCAGCTTTGGGCTGGATGTGTCAATGTGTAGTTCATACATGTAATCTATGAGCAGAATTACTTTCTTACCTCAATTAGCCACAAAATCCCTAGTTTGAAAACGAAATCGCTAGTTTCTGGAAGCTGTGCTTCGGTATTTTCCCTACATTTCCCCCCATGTGGGCCAGCCCCCTAGCAATTCGAGTTCTAGCCAATGAGCTTCAGCCCCTCGCCATTTGAGTGACAACTAGCAAAATGTGCACACACAGCAGAGCGAGAGAGAGAGAGAGAGAGAGAGAGAGAGAGAGAGAGAGAGAGAGAGAGAGGAGAGAGAGAGGAGAGAGAGGAGGAGCGAGAGAGAGAGAGAGAGAGAGGGAGAGAGAGAGAGAGAGAGAGAGCAATGACGTGTTGCACATATCTGCACATATGTGACGTAGTACGAAATTCTCGGGGACCACTTTTGGCTCGTGAGCGCTGCTTATAGAACTACTGGCTAAAAAGTCTGACAAAATCACTGGAGATCAGTTGAATAAAGACGTGTCCTTTCATTGGTCTAGATGAGTGTTTCCCAACCCTGGTCCTCCAGTTCCCCCAACAGTGTTTCCCAACCCTGGTCCTCCAGTACCCCCAACAGTGTTTCCCAACCCTGGTCCTCCAGTTCCCCCAACAGTGTTTCCCAACCCTGGTCCTCCAGTTCCCCCAACAGTGTTTCCCAACCCTGGTCCTCCAGTTCCCCCAACAGTGTTTCCCAACCCTGGTCCTCCAGTACCCCCAACAGTGTTTCCCAACCCTGGTCCTCCAGTTCTGCCACTCTTAATAAGAATTAATATACACTGCTCAAACAACACATCCTAGATCCGAATGAATGAAATAATCTTATTAAATACTTTTTTCTTTACATAGTTGAATGTGCTGACAACAAAATCACACAAAAATTATCAATGGAAATCAAATGTATCAACCCATGGAGGTCTGGATTTGGAGTCACCCTCAAAATTAAAGTGGAAAACCACACTACAGGCTGATCCAACTTTGATGTAATGTCCTTAAAACAAGTCAAAATGAGGCTCAGTAGTGTGTGTGGCCTCCATGTGCCTGTATGACCTCCCTACAACGCCTGGGCATGCTCCTGATGAGGTGGCGGATGGTCTCCTGAGGGATCTCCTCCCAGACCTGGACTAATGCATCCGCCAACTCCTGGACAGTCTGTGGTGCAACGTGGTGTTGGTGGATGGAGCGAGACATGATGTCCCAGATGTGCTCAATTGGATTCAGGTCTGGGGAACGGACGGGCCAGTCCATAGCATCAATGCCTTCCTCTTGCAGGAACTGCTGACACACTCCAGCCACATGAGGTCTAGCATTGTCTTGCATTAGGAGGAACCCAGGGCCAACCGCACCAGCATATGGTCTCACAAGGGGTCTGAGGATCTCATCTCGGTACCTAATGGCAGTCAGGCTACCTCTGGCGAGCACATGGAGGGCTGTGCGGCCCCCCCAAAGAAATTCCACCCCACACCATGACTGACCCACCGCCAAACCGGTCATGCTGGAGGATGTTGCAGGCAGCAGAACGTTCTCCACGGCGTCTCCAGACTCTGTCACGTCTGTCACATGTGCTCAGTGTGAACCTGCTTTCATCTGTGAAGAGCACAGGGCGCCAGTGGCGAATTTGCCAATCTTGGTGTTCTCTGGCAAATGCCAAACGTCTTGCACGGTATTGGGCTGTAAGCACAACCCCCACCTATGGACGTCGGGCCCTCATACCACCCTCATGGAGTCTGTTTCTGACCGTTTGAGCAGACACATGCACATTTGTGGCCTGCTGGAGGTCATTTTGCAGGGCTCTGGCAGTGCTCCTCCTGCTCCTCCTTGCACAAAGGCGGAGGTAGCGGTCCTGCTGCTGGGTTGTTGCCCTCCTACGGCCTCCTCCACATCTCCTGATGTACTGGCCTGTCTCCTGGTAGCGCCTCCATGCTCTGGACACTACGCTGACAGACACAGCAAACCTTCTTGCCACAGCTCGCATTGATGTGCCATCCTGGATGAGCTGCACTACCTGAGCCACTTGTGTGGGTTTGTAGACTCCGTCTCATGCTACCACTAGAGTGAAAGCACCGCCAGCATTCAAAAGTGACCAAAACATCAGCCAGGAAGCATAGGAACTGAGAAGTGGTCTGTGGTCACCACCTGCAGAACCACTTCTTTATTGGGGGTGTCTTGCTAATTGCCTATAATTTCCACCTGTTGTCTATTCCATTTGCACAACAGCATGTGAAATGTATTGTCAATTAGTGTTGCTTCCTAAGTGGACAGTTTGATTTCACAGAAGTGTGATTGACTTGGAGTTACATTGTGTTGTTTAAGTGTTCCATTTATT